CCCCGACGGTGGCAGCCAGGCGTTGGCTTTTACTTGCTCCTTGCCTTCCTCCTCTTTTTCCCCAACAGCTCCTGCCATCCCTTGCCATTCCTTTCTTTGTGGGCAGACTCTGGCAAAGTGACCTGGCTGTTGGCAGAGATAACATTTCTTGGCGCTCTTCCCCTCCTTCTTCCGCCCTTCACTGGGATTTGAAACTGCGCGCGCCCGCGCTGTTCCAATTTCCATCGGCTCTGCCGGCGGGAAAGGTGGCTCTGGAATGTCTGGAATGCGGAAATCCCTCCAACGTTCCCCTTTCCCTTCCCGCTTTTCCAAAGCCCTCGCCTCCTGGCGTGCTCCTATGGCCAGCGCGGATTTGGTCAGCTGGTCCATAGACTCCGCCCTGGGCGCCCGGGAAAGTTCATCTTTCACCGCCGAAGAAAGCCCCTCTTCGAAAAGCATCTGGATGGGTTCCGCCGATAGATCCCACCCCAACTTATGGATCAGCATGGTAAACTCAGTCCAGTACTCACGGACAGATCGGCTCCCCTGTTTGCAAGCCATTAACTGCCTTCGCACCACTCCCTGCTCAATGTCGCTGGAAAACATCAGGTCCATGGCGCGAAAAAACTTCCTCGTGTCCTTTAGGATCTCATTATTCACTGCCATCAGGGGTCTAACCCAGTCCTTCGCTCCCGATTCGAGATGGCCAATCACAAAAGCCACTCGCGATTCCTCGTCGGGGAAGTCATCAAACTGCAGGTTGAGAGCATATTGCATCTCTGTTCTAAAGGCATGATAGTTCCTGGGATCCCCCCCAAACTTCTGCACCAATCCTGGCACCTTTCTGGCGAGCGGGGTGGTTTTCTCCTTTCCCTTTTCTGCATCCTGAGCCCTCCTCTCCTCGAGCCTCGCCGTTTGCAGCGCAAGCTGGATCTCCAACGCCCTGTACCTTTCTTCCAGGCTTGGACCCCCTCCAGCTGCTCCTGCTCCTCCGGTTCCGGCTGGGTCGCTCATGATGCCTCTCCCTGCACAAGCTGGCTTTCGAGGACTTTCGGATTGCTGTGATGGGATGATGAGCTGCTTGTGCGTAAAATGCAAGTCCCTCAGAGTTTGATCAGGTTTTCAAACCTCTGCCTGTGACGGAGCCCCTCCGGCATGGCTGCGTCAGTCGCTAGCAGAATCCGAAAGTGGTTGCTTTCGGAATCGTTTCCAACATAAAAGCTCCTTAACGGAAACACGTCTTCTGGACTCTCGGCGTGACAGTTTCCGGCGAGGAGTGGGTGTCCCTATAGGAGGTCCTGAGACCTCCCCACTGTTTTCGCTGGAAGCGTCTCTGAGCCATCCCTCCGACTCACTTTCCCTTGGAGTTCCTCCTCTCCCCCTACTGGTTCCCTCTTCAGCTGCTACGTCTCTCTCAACCTCAGTGAGCCTTTGCACCTCCTGTCCTTCCGATGGCAGTTCCCTGACACAACCCCTGTCTAATATGCATTTTATGTAGATATGATCCAGTAATTGCTAGGGGAAGGAGAGGAGAAAAAGTCTTCAAAGGAGCCTGTGTTGTCACAGTACCTCAATTCCCAGAGTAAAATACTTTTAAACTACTTTAAGAGCTATACTACAGACTTCAAGCTGATGTTTCCTGGGCACAGCATTCCCAACTTCAAGCTAGTTTAAAAACCTGCTGTTCATGCAAAACTCTTCCTTGCTCTCTTCAGACTTTTTTTCCAGTCCATCGGCCCTTTTCTCCTTGAAAATGGAACTTCATGCCGGATCCAATTTTAGTTGCTTGTTTTGTTTATTTAGTGTGAATATTTGGCAATTTTTCTTGCTAGTTCTATTTTGTATGAAAGATGTTCCTTGCTTTAAAAAAAGCACAAGCCCACCCCTTTTTAAAAGAGTAGTATTCTTTGTACAGTACATTTACACAAGTGAAGGACCCAGAAGAAGCATTTTGCAAACAACTACAGCCAGCCCCTGGGGCAACTCTAGTTTGAACTCACTATTTATTCAGGCTTTTATGTGATTATTTACTACAGAAATCAGTGTAAAAACAGTACTTACCCCTAAGCCACATAGTGCCTATACTTCACCCCTGGGACGCAGGGCAGCTGTATTAAAAGAATCAGCTACACTGAATGTGTGCTTTTACAATGTTTTTGAAAACGTTTTACAACATGTAGAAACTCTTCTATAAAAGCAGTCTTATGATTTCCAGCCTTAAAAGTTTTCTGCACAAATATTTTTGAGAGAAAGGGCACATTTAAATATGTATTTTTCAGAGAAAAAACACTTTCTATGATTTAAACAAGTATTAAAATATGTGCTTGTTTATATATTTTAGAAGATTTTTTTTATGCCGATTAATGTGGAAACAGGACTGAATTGTGATTAGATGTGTTAAAGTGACATGGAGAAATAACATGACAGGACATATTTATATTGATGACAATGCACCACAAATCTCTGCCTGATGATGATGATCTCTCCCTGGGGTTCCATGTAGATGTTAAGTGATTATGGGGTGGGGGGGACAAGATTGATCCTTGTGAATTCCCATAAGCCAATGTCCAAGGTTCTGAGTAGGAGTCTATGAGCATCACCTTCTGGAATTAATCCTCCCAGAAGGACTATGGTAAATGGTATCCAATGCTGTTGAGAGGTCTAGCAAAACCAGAAGGGATGTACTATAACTTAATCAGGCCCAGCAGCCACACAATTAAGGCAGCGTTCAGCTGGCAATTACTGATATTTCTTTCTACTGACATCTGATCTATCTTTGGAAATTACTACATTCTGTGCCACATCTTTTTCCTTGTGGCAGAGAGTTCCACAGCACAGCTTTCCTCAGGCCAGCTACAGACATTTGCTCGGGAGGTTTTGTGGCTCAGCTTCCCCATTTTAGGCAGAATCTGCTGATCTAGAAGCTCTAAGTGGAAAATATTTTATATTTAATATTTCCCCCTTCCCACCCACCCCATGCCTCTCCACTTCCTGCCCCCTTCTCCTTTCATGCTCAACAGTTAATCATTAACCCGCTAAACGCCCAATGAGCTTTAGTATACCTCAATTGATTTTTCCAGTGTTAAACCCTTCAGCAATGTACATACACGCATTCTCCATTTCAGCGTGCAATTAAACAATTATACTTTACACTTCCTTCCCTCTTCCCACTCCAAACTTCTGTCTCCCGGCCATCTTTCCTCAGCATGCATGGACTTGCAGGTGCCACTGTTGGTCCAGCCAAAGGGCTATGACATGACAAGCAGGTGTGGCAGCCAAGTGAAGAGGCACTGGGCAGGCTGTGGCACTTAGGTCCATCTAACAAGTGGCCCAAGGTGCTCTAGAAGATCCTGTCTCACTGTTATGGAAACACTGATCCATTTTACCCAAGAATCCTTGGGCCTCAGATGCCACTACACGTTGCAGCTCCTGGGTGTTTAGAGGTACTCTGGAAGTGAAAACCATAGCTGTTTTACCATGTGTGTGACAACCAGAATGGCAAGCTCTTCTTTCCTTTGCCTCATGAGAAGCAAACCAACATAGTACTCATGTTACTACCTCTTTAACCATTGCTTGGTTTTAATATCTTAATGTTTTGATAGTAGATTTTACTAAAATAGATTGCTCTGTGACATTACAGTCCCCTTTCTCCCCAAAACCTATCTTCAGTGTTTGGTTTTCTAGGTAAGACTGGATATCTCAATCATAGGCATGCTGTTTATTCTTTCCTTCACCCCTGCCCCATGTTTTACTTCGTGGGGCATTTGCCAGACCAAGACCAAGCTCCAACTGTTATTCTTCCAGTGGAAATATTAGTCTTTCTTGGCAGAATTGGCAGACATTTCAGTTTTAGCTTTAGGAATTTCTTTTGTGTCTTTCATGAGGTTAGGGGCAAGCTATCTTGTACACCTTGATGCCCAATCTTTGACCTCTTTCTAATTCAAAGGAATGTGTGAAATTTTATTTTGGCTTGCAATAAGATCCAGCTCATGTCCGCAAAAGGCAAATGCCCTGATATTGGGCCACTCTTGCTTTGGCAAAAATTGCAGCTTTTTCTCTCTTGCAAGACACATAAGTGGAAAGCAGTCTCTTGGGTTGCTGAAATGTCTCTGAAAGACATTTGATGATGGGAAATCACATATTATCTTATTAAATGTTTGCAAGTATGCTTACACATAGCAAAAACTGGTCACAGATAAGTCCAGAATAAGTTTGCTGTATAACAGTCTAATATTTTGTAGACATTCACTGACATCTGATAATGGACAAGACCATGTCATTTGCATATGCCAAAAAAATGCAATTCTGGAGATATAGCCACCTCTGAGTTATTTAGATCAATTTGCTTTGCACAGCAATGCCAGTAAAGCTGGCAAGGAGCTCAGGGGGGTTTACAGGGGTCTCCCCATTGTATCCTCACAACAACCCTGTGAGGTAGGTTAGGCTGAGAGTGAGTGACCAGTCCAAATTCACCAAAGGACCTTCATGGTTGAGTGGGGACTCAAACCCTGGTCTCCCCAGTCCTAGTCCAACACCCTAACCACAACACCACTCAGGCTCTGTTGACAGAAGTTTTACCATCAGCCAAATAACCATGCTGGATAAAGATATAGTGGATTCTGTTAGTTGTGAACTGTCCTCTGAACCACAGACACCTTTATCAGAACCTGTTAGTCAAGCTGTGAAGAAGAACCATCAGTTTTGGTGAACAATCTTTTGAACTATGGCCTGTCAAATGATCATCAATAATGGAAAATCCCAAATACTACTGAAAGAGGAAGAATAGAATAAGAAAGACTTGGCAAACTTAGATAATGGTTAAATTAACACACTTCAGTAGACTATATAAAACAGACATTCCACATTTTTGGAACAATGGAAACCATGCCTTGGAACAGAGTTAAAAGCAGTCAATGAAGTACAGACATTGTGTAAGACAATGCTGAGTATGAAATTTTTGTACGGGTTCCTCTTGGTTATATGTATGTGTGTATTAATTTTCTTATTTTCTCTCTTTTTAGATCTTTTATTATCATCTAATGATGATGATAATGAAATCTGTGGTTCTAAATCATACCGCGGTGCGGCAAGTAGAGTTGAACAAGGGCCTGGAAGACCACGGCTGAACTCTCCACTCAGTCATGAAGCTCACTGGGTGACCTAGGGCCAGTCACTAACTCTCAGCTAATCTTCCTCACAGAGTTGTCAAGATGGTGGGGGAACCAATTATGCCTCCTTGAGCTCCACAGAGGAAAGGCAGGATGTAAGTAAGTAAATAAATAAATACTACATCCAGGTATTTAAAATTAACCAAACTGTAGACTAGGTTACATTTTCTTCAAAGCAAGATGGTACAAAAGAGTTCTTATATTATGGGCATTGTACCCAAAGTTATTTCAGTCAGGACTTGAGAGCAAAAAGAGTAGTGTTTTGGTGTCATCATCTTCCTTCCTTATAGACTAGGGCAAGCAACATATTGGCATCATGGAAGGCTCCCCACTTATCTTACATAATTTCACTTTGCTATGAAAGAGCCAAAAATGGCACTTAAATATGAAGAGCAAGCAAATATTATTGGTAATGTGACAGAAAGGAAGTTGCCATCATGATTTTTTACTCTGGGATAAGGCCAGCTGCCTTTTGGTCAAAATACAGAGCGGACTTTATGTTCTAAGATCCAGAGGAAAAACTCTTTTCCATCTCAAATACATTCCTTCAGCTTGCACAGAAACGGATTTGGAGTTTGCTGCTTTAACATGAACATAATCCCCCCACCCCCCACCCCCCAAATGCCCCCTGCAACTTAACATGTTGCTTTAGGACGGCTCCACTAGGCAGTAGGATTCCATATGTGCCGTAATGTTTGTGTTTCTAAGCAATGCCTTGGTGACCACATTAGGGGTGCCGAAATAGAAAAAGAAAAAGGAAAGGGCTGTTTTTTAATTTTCTGTTTCTGGCTATCTCCATTGGAAAATAGAAAGGGGGGGTGGGAGGTGGTCTGTACTGGCACAGCATGTGCTGAAAGGAATGTCCCTCATAGGCCAAATTGTATACAGATCCCACCAATAAAACTTTGCGGCATGCATGCCTATTTTTAAAAATGAATGGATTTCATTGGGATTAATTCAGGAGAAGGGAAAATATTAATTCTCAGACACAGGAGATCTGGAACAAAATTTCTTGTCATTATGAAATCAGCAGGTGTTGGACAGGGATGTTTTTTGAGTCTGCCAAAGTATCTCCAACAGCTTAGTCTTTGGGGACATTTTTGTTTAACTTTTGAGCAAGTTGCTTCACAAACGTTACTAAACCAAAGACATTCATGAACAAGCAAACAGATTACTCAGGCATGCTGACCAAAAAAATTCTTTACATGTTAAAACCTCCTTGAGGCTTATGGAATGGCTCCCTTTTTATCGAGTGGGCTTTGGATCAAGCACTGAGACCACAGAGCAAACAAAGAGAAAGACTTTTTCACACAATGCACAATTAAGCTATGTAATTCATGGCACTGCAGTGTTGCATAAGTTTCTTCCACGAGGGGAGAATTTTAGGAAGACCAGCCCATCAATAGCTGATATTTTTGTAGAGACACTTTATGTATCACTTAATCTCTGACTGGTGGAAACTTGCTGTGAATGGCAGAAGAATCTACATCGGCTTTTCTCAGACAACCGACCCAATTCCACAGTCCCGAACTTACTCCCGGTTCAAAATGCAACTCCAACTACACCCTTCTTGAGATTTTGTAGTTTTGGTGCACAGAAAGTGTATGCATGCAAAAATAAGTATTTTGTGGTAAAAATATGTATCTTACAGAGAAAGATTATCACAAAAAGGTGTGTGATCATGTCTATAAGTTATAGGCAGAATTGTTGCATTCTTTTTCTTTTTTTAATCTGCCCAAAATGAAACAAAACAGGCCCATGATTGAATGCTAGAGATTGAATGCTAGGGTTTAGGGGAGTGTGACTGGTTCAGTCATACTGGGTGCAGAGCCTTGGGGGCATTGCAGGGGATGAACAACTATGATTTAGAATGAAGCGAGGGGGGGAGGGTGCAGGATTTTTGTCATCACAAAGGGCGCTGCTGAAATATGAGATCTGAAGGTCCACCAATGAACTGAAGGAGGATGGATTTGGGTTTATTTGTTCATCCATAAATGTATCACTTTAATTGCACTGTAATTGCTAATGCATTCACGTGGGATGATGGCTATTGAAGTTTTAATCTAGCAAGTAAACATGAGTTTAAAGCAAAAGCTATTAAGCAAAACACAGAGCTGAATTACACCTTACATTTTCAGATAGCATCCTTAAGACCAGTGTGGGTTTTTTTCGCGTAGAAGAAAGGGTGCTGGAACTCACTGCGAATGGACCTTTGTACTAGTAGTACTAGTAGTACAGGTGACATTTATGCGGGGGTTCCATTCTGAGCCCCTGCACAAATATGCAAAATGACGCATAATGGGGAGCACCCTGGAGAGTCCTAGTGGCTCATGAGGAGACACACCCCAGTGAACATCTGAATGCCAACCCCTCACACATCCTCAAGGTCAGTTCTTTTCCTTAGGGAACAGGGAGCTAGCAAGGAAGGTGAAAGGGTGGTTACACCTGAGGTTTCCAGTGCTCTAACTGAACATTTTCAAAATTCCAGTTTATTCAGGGGCAAGCTTTAGGGGGATCAGCCATCTGTGTGGTTGTACTATAACTGGGCATAAAGGTAAAGGGACCCCTGACCATTAGGTCCTGTCGTGACCGACTCTGTGGTTGTGGCACTCATCTTGTTTTATTGGCCGGCGTACAGCTTCTGGGTCATGTGGCCAGCATGACTAAGCCGCTTCTGGAGAACCAGAGCAGCGCACGGAAACGCCGTTTACATGTGCACAGTCACACATTCTTTGAACACCCACAAAATGGGAGTTGCTTGTATACACGTGTTGTGAACTGCCCTGAGATCTACAGGTGAAGGGAGGTATATACAGATTTATAATAATAATAATAATAATAATCATACATACATACATACATACATTTTTGCCAAACAAAATCAATGTTTACCGTAATTTCATATCCAATGTCAAATTTTGAAAGCGGATGTTTCATCAAAGTCTGAAAAAAACCCTGTTAAGCTTTACTCTGAATTATTGATTCCTTTACATGGTTACATGGTTCACAGCAAATGAAAGGAGTGCTGTATTCCCCTCCCCCCCCACACACACACGGCAGCATAGTTTGGCTTTTAGTGTGTGGCGAAGCAATATAGCAGAGCAAGGGGGTGTAATTACAGCTTGCACAAACATGGCCCGAAAACTCTTTTAATGTAAAATGCATGACTAACGTCATAATTCTAGCCATTAGCTAAGTTACATAATCCTGCGTAAACATATATATGTCTATATAAAGCCATCAGCTTCAGCATCCGCAGATTTTATTTTTTTTAGGGGGCTTTAGGAGTGATTAATTTTCTGCCCTTATTAACTGCAACATGTGTTAATATTTGATCAATTGCACTAGCTAATATTATAAGAACAAAATGAAATAGTTTCATCTGTTTTTACAAAAAGACAGAGAGCATCATGGGAGCAGGCACGGTGGTCATGAATAAAAGAGAAACATTCATTTATGATAATTGGTTGCAGCTCACCATTTGGCTGGTTCTTGTGACCTAAATGTATCCAGTTGTTTCCTTTCTTTCCCTTTGGTTTTTGGGTCACTCCTAATGGTTTAATTCAACAAAAAATGCCTACCATTTCCTGTAACCTCTGTCTTTTTTCATTCCACCTTCCAAACTAAGAGGGTTTCTTTTCTTTTTTTACACATTGAGAGAAATCCCCCCCCCTTCTTTTCGCTTCCTTCCAAGTGAACAAAGTCAATATTGTTGACAGAGACAAGGTCTGCCCCCCCCAACTCCCCCCCCCCCAATGTAATAGCTATTTATTTGTTTCTCTTTTAAGTTCACAAGGCTTTTTTTTTGTTTGTTTGTTTGATCCTGGCGGTCAAAACTTTGACACGGAACATGCCCCCTCTGACCAAGAGCAATTTATAGGGGAGGAAAGGAGACAAACATCTTCCTTCATGTTTAAGAAAGCAAAGGAAATGGCTGTAGATTAATATTTGTGCATTTGTTAGCAAAATTTTGGATAGGTCTGTAACACATTCAACCACCCTGGTTGGGAAGCACAAGGGGCAAGACTACCATGGGGAGCTGAGCTCTGTTACTCTTGGACACCTTTCAAAACATCAGCACGCCTCCAGCTTTCCTTATCCCGGCTGTTTTCCAGCACAAAGCAAAAGGCCGTGTGTTGTTTTCAGGAATGAGGCACAGCCTGCCAACCGGATCCTTCAAATGCAAAGGCTGAGGTTCTTCTTTTCGTGCAAATGTTCCACTCTTAAGCAAACATCCCCAAATTGGTTTTTAAATGCCTCTCATCTTACAAGTGCATCTTAGGCAGGGCAAATCTGGAGCTTGATGCACAGTGGCTGAGGGAGCTATTGAACAGGAGATGCTCTGGGTGGAGCTGCACCCAAATAGCAAGATGGTGGTGTATTGATTTCTCATGCAAGCACGATTAAAGTACACACACACACACACACACACACACATAGACTAAATTATGCAAACTATGACCACTGTCATGATCTGGGGCAGATCTATTCTGAAAGTAATGAAGTTGAAGCTTCAGTGCCAGAGGAACCCCAGAAGCGACTTTAGTTGACGTTGCTTTTAAAAAAATGGGTCTAGCAGACGCAATTTGAGTCACATGACTGGAATTAATTGTTTTTTCATTGTATGTATTTCAACAAACCCAAAGTTTGAGAGTCGGTAGCACAGACGTTGTAAAGGTTGTTGCAAACAACCTCGCTGAAGATAACAGTGATTACCAGACCTCATTGCTGGTTGCAAATCCCCACCCCCACCCCACATAACAGTTCAAGCTTCAGGGCTCTAAAACTGTACGTCCGCAACTGTTCATGATTTACCTTTAAAACAAGACCAAAGACCTTATACTGTGCAAAATTATTTGAAAGATGTCCCTGGTTACTTTAAATCTGAGCATCTGAGTCATGCTGTGGAGCAACTGCAAGTGTTCCTGGATGACAGCGATTATCTGGATCCACTACAATCTGGCTTTAGGCCTGGTTTCAGGGTTTTTATGTCAATAGGCCTATTCAGTTGTTTCAAATTTTCTTGAGCGGCCAGGCATTCCAATGATTGTTTCGTGTGTTTTTCATGTTGCCCTGATATTTCGACTGTTTCTTTTCTCATGACTACATGCATGAAAACAGAAGTGCAATATTAATAAGGATTGTTTTGAAATGGTTCCTGATGAGTTCTAAGGGTAGGAGAGAAATTTGATTCTGTTTGCATTGGAAGGTGAACCTTCCTAATTCACACTTTCTGAAATAATGCACAAACTGAAACATAGGTGTCCTTCAAAATTTGCCCTTCTCTGAATTTTGCAGTACGGTTCTCCAGCCATGTAATGTGCACAAAAATGAGGATACTGGGGTTAAGTGTGCATTATACACCTTTAAGCACCAGGCAAAACCTTTCCTTTTAAAAGATGCCTTTGGTTGACCTGATCAACATCCCATACCCTTTAAAAATGTGCCTCTTTGGTGGGGGGGAGTATTATTGGGTTATATGTGTACCGCCTTGAGACCTCTGGGTATAGGGCGGTATACAAATTCTAATAGTAATAATAATAATAGTAGTAGTAGTAATAATAATAATAATAATAAATGCATATTGGTGAAAATAACATGCAAAAATGTGTTATTTTAAGGGACTCTGCTTTGCAAAAACATACAAACATGTATATATTAGGAAAACTTCACATTAAAGAGAGGGGAATTTTCACGAGGACTGTTAAGGAGGAAACATTATGAACTGGTGAGGAAATGTGGAGAACTGAACTCAAGTTTGGAATAATGAGAAATGGAGAGAAACCCAAACTGAAAATTCGCCCATCCCTACTGATGACACATGGCAAAGCTCGAGGAACTGTAATCGTTTTCATTTTCCTAAAAAGGGGCTCAGCTTTCAGAAGTTTAGGAAGAGCTGAATTAACAGATTAGTCACACAACTTCTTTTAAGATTTCTCCCTCTAGTTGAATAACAGTTGGTGAATGAGTCGAGCTATGCTGCCTCTTTTTTTTTTAATCCTACAGATCCACTTTAATTGCAACCGCTGTCATGTTTTAAGAAGAAACACAGTCCCTGTGAGTCATGTTTTGATATAGGAATAATGCAAATAAACACAAAGCAGGTGACTCAGACAGTCAATAGTTTACAAAAAATACTGCATCCTCTAGAAATGATAGCAGCCCACAATTTATATGATAAGTCTCTCACGTGTTTACTGAATGTATGAGGGAGAGCAGAATTATACCCACTGGACAGCTCCCCAACATATATGCAGTGCATTCAGCAGAAATATGAAGAGACCCTACTCAGCCCCACTTGGGCAAGTATAGGCCACTTGCATTTAATATGTGGACTGAGTTCAAACTGCTGACTATGGTGGAGACGGGGTGTGTGTGTGCGCTAGCATCCAAATCTCCTTCATATTATGATCCCTTATCAGCTATAATAATCCATGTCACTAACCAATGTTGGTGTGGGACGTAGCAGGCCACATCTTCACTATACATTTAAAACAATATCATACCACTTGAAACAGCCATGTCTTCCCCCAAAGAATCTTGGGGAAAATGCAATTCGTTCAGTGTGCTGAGAGTTGTTAGGAGACCCCTGTTCCCCTCACAGAGCTACAATTCCCAAATTCAATCAATCTCTCTTCCTAGGGAACTCTCAGAATTGATGCTCTGTTAGGGGAATAGGGATCACCTAACAAAATACATTTCCCAGGATTCTTTGGGAGTAAGCCCTGATTATTTACAGTGGCATCATAGTGCTTTACATGTATACCACAGGTGGGGCCACAACAGCATTGAACAAGAACCAAAAAGCTGGGTATTCAAAACAATCTAGATATTTTTCTGGAGA